AAAAGGAAGTGGAAGCTTGCATAAGACCGAGAACTCCAGTGCAAACCCAGAAAAATCAAAGATCTACAGAGATTCAACAGGGAGAAGGAAAGAAAAAAAAGAACCGGCGGACTACGAGTTTTTTTCTGTTTGGTCGTTTGTAGGTAATATTGTATTTTTTGTTATCAATCGTCATCGCCGACGTTGTTTTGCTGTCGGTAGGTTTTTGTATTTTTTTTTGCATCTGAGCACGAAGATAAAGATGAGCACGAAGATAAAGCTGAGCACGAAAGATCGAGACATATAATATAACACATAACACGTGTATTCCTTTAAAGCTTTGTTCTTTCTGTCATAGAAAAATTATTTTTTTTAGATTGTACGCTTTGTTTGCTTATTTTAGATTAAGAGTTTTGACTCATATAACAACGTGTACTCATTAAAAACTTATATGATCAATATTATATAATTTTGTACAGGATTTTACAATGGAATCAGAGAGCACTCCGAAGGATCCTGCATATAAATACGGTACAAAAGATGCTATCAATCGAAACAATTTTACGTGTCGATTTTGTCAGAATGTTACCAAGGGAGGAGTTCAACGATTGAAACAACATTTAGTTGGAGGTTTTAGAAATTTGATCAAATGCCCTACGTGTCCTGACCCGATAAGAGCGGAGATCTCGGATTTTATGATGAAAAAGGCAGCTTTGAAGATTGAAAGTCAAATGTTGCCTAAAATTCCGATTGGAACTCAATCCGATGCTGGTTTGGATGAAGATGAAGAAGAGTTTGTCCCTAAAAAACCAAGAATGAAGGGTCCAATGGATATGTTTGTCACTCCTCCAGGTAACCCAAAAAAGGATGGAATCAACAAGGTTGTTGACAAGAACCTCCGACAAAAAACTTGTAGAGTAATAGCTAGATTTTTTTACGATGCTGGAATTCCATTCAATGCAGCTAGTTATCCAAGTTTTGCAGAGATGTGTGAAAGTATCGGACAATATGGGTCGGGATTGAAGGTGCCTAGCATGTATGAATTAAAAGTTCCTCTTCTCAAAGAAGAGGTAAGCGACACTGAAACGCAATTAAATGAGCACAAGGATGAGTGGAAAGAAAAAGGTTGCTCAATTTTATCAGATGGATTGCGTGATTCGGTTGCTAATAAGGATATAATAAATTTCCTTGTTAACTCTCCCAAGGGTTCGGTTTTTATGAAATCCATGGATGTGTCAGAGATTGTCTAAGATGCCAATTTATTGTATCGGTTGCTTGATGATATGATCGAGAAAGTGGGAGAGGATAATGTAATCCAAGTGGTGACAGACAATGCTTCTAATTATGTTAAAGCTGATACAAAATTATTTATCTCAATTTTCATTGACTTTTTTTTTTTATAATTTATGATGATTATGCTGATCAATATATTTTTTATGTTTATTTGTAGGAAAATTGCTCGAAGCTAAGCGACCTCATCTTTTCTGGACTCCATGTGTGGCGCATTGTATCGATCTAATGTTGCAGGATATCGAAAAAATCCCCAAAGTACAAACTACACTAAAGAAGTGTATGTTCATAAATGGTTATATATATAACCATGTACCTCTTGTGAACATGATTAGGCGGTTCACAAATCAAAGGAATCTGCATCGATCCGCGGTAACTAGGTTTGCGACTTCTTTTATAACTCTTTCACAGTTCCACAAACAAAAGAATAATTTGAGAAAGATGATTACGTCACAAGAGTGGAATGGATCAAAATGGTCAAAAGAGGCGGGGGGAAAGAAAATGGCAGGATTTCTTTTGCAAGATTTCTTTTGGAGAAATATGTTATATTCTCTCAAGTTAACTGCACCTCTTGTTAAGGTTCTTAGGATTGTTGATGGGGAGAGAAAACCGTCAATGAGTTATATGTATGGAGCTATGGATAAGGCCAAAGAAGCTATTGCTACAAATTTTGGTTCCGATGATGAGCAATATAAGGTAGCATTTGAGTATATTGATAAGAGATGAGACTGCCAACTTCACCGACCTTTGCATGCTGCCGGCTATTTTCTAAACCCAAGTCTCCATTGTGGTAATCCGGATTCTAATTGTGAAGAGGTTATGAAGGGTGTATTTGAATGCATTGCTAGATTATCTCGTACCGTTGAAATGGAAGACAAGATTATAACAGAAATGGACACATATAAATCAGCGGAGGGTCTTTTCGGTCTACCTACGGCCATTAGATCAAGGAGCATACGCTCTCTAGGTATTTTTTTAAATATAAGTTATTATAAATGATATATATTTATATATTTAGAAATATATAAATTAGTGAATGGTTACTTGGAAGAATGGAAGGCAACTCAGATGACGATGATTTTGTGTTTGATGATGATGATAGCCTCACGTGGAGTCAAGTTGGTAGGATAGCAGGCGCTTACGATCCGAGTTATAATACTAGGCGTTCAAGTTCAACAAATGCACAAGATGGTCCCGCTCTTTCCTCCTGGATAAATAAAGGAAAGAGTATAGCTATTGAGAACACTTTGACATTGATGGATGAGGAAGAAGAAGAAGATATTGGTAAAGACGATGATTACGACGAAGATGAACGTTATGATCATATTTAAATAGACATTGATCGACGTTTATATCATCCCTTCTCCGCTCTTCTTCCGCTCGTGAGGTACCTAAAATCTTTACTAGCCCTTCCATGCATGCAATGTCATGCATGTTGATACATGCCAGAGTATTACGCTAGAAGTGTAAGTCTTTTCAGTCTATTTTGCTCAAAGTTTGATACTTTTTGCGATCTTACGACGTACAGAATGCGGCGGAGAAGCCGCTGAGGGTTCTCGGGAGCTGGAAGGGAGCGTACGTGGTGAATGCTTCGTGGTGGTGTGGGTGCTTGTGGTTGGATTCGGGATAGGAGGATGGGCAAGCATGTCTAATTTCATCAAACAAGTCCACACTTTCGGCATCTTCGCCAAGTGTTACCAGTGTCCTCCTCCTTCCTTCTCCCCGCCGCCTCACTGACTCCTCGTCGGTTTTGTTCTCCACCGATAGGGGTGTTTCTGAACGTATTGAAAGTGTTGTGGCCAAAACGAAGACATGAATGAAACTTTTTTTAAAAAAAACTAATGGAAAAAGAATGACGCTTTGGAGAAATTGTATGATTTGTCTTCGAATTTGCTTAAAACTTGAACTCCGTTATTTGAATTTTGCTTGAAACAAAAATGTGATACATTTCTAAATAAAATCATAAAATGTTAACTGATTCATACATGGTCGTGAACCAATCTTTTGTTTCCATATCATAATCCTTAATTTATTTGAATTTTCCTTGAATCTTAGTTGAGGACTTAAAAGGAAAATGTGATAAATGATTGCATTTCTAGAACTTATAACAATAAACAATAACCCATACCACATAAACATATACCCACAAACATGTACATACATCAATAAATTATGTACCTTGAACCCTTGCACGTGCAATAGTAATGACAATTAGTAACCATAGAGTATAGTATTTATAGGTATAAAACTATAGTATAATAATAAAACACATGTTAATATAGAATACAATAATATAATATGTATACTAACAAACTATGCACTCTCACTAAATGCGATGAGGATACATCACTTACATCCCAAACTGTCGGGGAAGGTATAGGAGAATTATGAAACAATATGATGTACACCACAAACAAAAATGCATAACAGACACTAACATTCAATTTCATAACCAATAAATTGTCGGAAAAACAAGCAATACGATTTGGACCATAATAATTATCGGACAGAGATTTTTTTAAAAAACCTAGAATTTAGAGTTTTTTTTTCTTCTGAAAATTCAAATGTAACCGTTTCAAACCTCCCAAATATGAAAACTACGGGTGGACATTTCGGTTTTCAATTCAGTTCTACTATGATATTTGTTTGACTCAGAGTTATTCACTTTTAGGAAAAATATGCACCAATCGATTATTATATTATATTTTGATTCAATTCGGTTTAATTTCGTTTTTTATTTTTAAAAAATGACTTCAGACCCAAAACGTTGTCAAACAGCCCGGCGAATAATGGTCCGCGAACCGGAGCTCCAAAATCCAAATTGGCGGAGAAATTGGGGAATGAGACCCTAAGTTGATTTTCTCTCTGGTTTCATTCGAAATGGGGACAAAATTCTCAATCTAGGGTTAAATTAAAACCCAATTTACTGCTCGGACCGGTTTTAAATTATCGGTTATATAAACCGAAATTAAAATGGTGAACAACAAATCCAGACTGAATTTGGAAAATAATTTTACAGAGGTAGACTGTTGACGTGATAATTTTTTTTTTATGTGTAACAAATATCGCCGGATCTAACAATAGTAATACGGAAATATTACAGTTTTGACAAAGTAAAGATTTTTTTAGGATTCTCTCATAATAAAATAAAAATATGAAATAGCATGAGGCTATGATATAAATGGCCATTCGGGTCAATACAAATGGCATTATAAAATAAAAATATGATATTACATCAATACAAATGGTCCAAAATAGAGGATGTTATTTTCATTTGGGTCAAATCTTGAGGCTATTTTGTTCAGCATTTAGAAGTTACAAAATTTTGATTTTTTTGGGGGGAGATTTTTCACGCTAAAATTAAAAAAAATGACGTGTCATCAATGTGGAACAAAATGTTTTGGGTCACTTGGGCCCAATAACAAAAGGCCCATTTAAATGGGACCCACAAACACTGGATTCACAACCGATTTGCGAAGCTCTTGCCTTTTTGCTGCTGCGTCGTGAAGAGGGAAAGA